TTGTTCTAGATTCTTCTCAAATGAATGTATTTTAATCCGGTTGTATTTTCCACAAGTTTTTATACTACTAAAATATAACTTGTTCTTATGAACATTTTCATCTGATATTTATTCTTTCTTTCTCCACATTTCCTTGTACCCATGATAAAATGTGTAATCTGTATGTATAAAACTGTATCATTCATCTTTGTATTTCTTTATTTTGCTCTGTCTTTGTTGTGTCTGTCTCTAACAGGCTCATCTCATCTCTGTATCTTCCTCATCTCCTATCCTTTGGGTTCTGTAAACTCCCTGAAGGTTCAGAGGTAGTATAAATACCTATTCTTGCTTGGGCTTCAGATCATTTCAAATGTACACCCATGTCTTCATCTCAGTTTCTTGTCAGCATGCAACTTCTTGCTATAGTGATTTGAAAAAATACCTCAGGCCTTTGTCCGCAGCTGTGGCACACTGAAGAAAAGTTTGTGTGGAATTTGCTGTTTTAAGTTCATTTTCTTACATCTATTTGTAAAACTGCAAATCACAGCATTTTAGTTCATACTGCATGACTTCATGTGAATTATGCTTGAGATATTCAGGCCTAGCATTAGAAGAACAGCTAAAGCGACTTCCTCATCCTCATAAATTGCATATCACTAGTGAACACCAAATCTCCTTGTACTTACGGAGGTACAATGGAAGTGACATGATTCCCCACTGATTAAAAATGTTGATCATCAAGAGGCCTAAAGGCATGCACACACACACACACACAATCCAGCCTGCAGAAATGCTGTCACTGCTCTATTAGAATTTTATCATATACTGAAGAAAGCTTACTGTTTTTCAATCTTTGAGTTTTATCTGGACAGTGTTGTGCATTCAGACTTGGAAAACTGATGAATAGTTGCAGTGAAAAGTCTGAAGATTGAAGTTTGAAAATCAGGATTTTTTTTTTTCTGAATGGGCAGAAATATGTATGGTTTGGAAAAATAAGCATCTTCTTTTCTGGTTTAGTTTCCTTTGATATGCTGGTTTAGTCCAGTTTGTTTCCATTAACTGTGATTTGTGTCTGACTATATTGTTCTGCGTTTTTGTCATTGATGTTCTAGAGACATCTTGGATTTTGAATAATAACCACAATGCACATAGTTAAATGTCTGAACTTCTACATTTTAGGGAGGAAAAATATCTTACATGTGACATTAATTTACTGGGATTAATTTTTTTTATATTTGCCAGGACTAACTGTCTCAAAAATACCAAAATATCTGCAGATGCAAACTTCTATTACTGTAGCTTTTTTTTTTGTTTTGTTTTTAAGTGTCTTGACTTTGCATGAAAGTGTTTTTTCTGTGTATTCTTGCTGTAGTCAAAGCTCTGGAAATTTCACATTCTCTGAAAAAGACACTTATTTTTTATATATGCAAGTTTTTTTAAAACGTAATTTAAAATTGTGCTAGTATTGGCTTTTTATTACATAGAAAAGCTGTTACAGCAATTATAGCATGGTTTTATCTGTTATGTATTAAGTTCCTTTGTATGTACCCTGGATATTTCAATTATACCACATTGTGTATTTGATACTTAAAACTGAATGGCTCAGATGAATTCTCGAAGAATGCAACTCTTCATGTGCTTTATGTAGGTGGCCTGCAGATTAAATCGAGGCTTCAGCTTTAAAATGACTCAAAATATTACATTATACTCTTGAAGAATAAAGTTCTGTGTTTACCCCATACAACGTGTAAATAACCATTTTGCTTGGAGTGCTGAAATGGAACTGGTGAGGAGAGGGCAGGAAAGGGTGGAATGATGAGGCTGTTGCTGCTCTTATTTCTTCCTGTAGGGACTTGATGGTTTATGCCTTCACCATTCTTAGCAGCCTAAACCCCATATTTTCAGTTTAAACAAAAGAAGTAATAAACCATGAGAAATGTTTAAAATCTGGCTAGAGTTTGGGATTACTTTGGAGGGCTTTTTTGTGAGAAGTGATTACCTGTTGTCTACCTTGTATCTTTGATTGTTACTCAATACAGTAAAAAACCCAAACTTGTTGTTCCATGATCCAGAAATCTGTCTGAAGTTGTAGAGCTATTTAAACATGTCTTTCTGCCTCAAGGTAAAACTTGTGTTCTTTCAGATTACTCCAGCATATGGGTAAATCAAAGTTTGAGGTCTTCTGTTGGCACAGAAAAGGAACATATGCTATTCTTAAAAACTTCACATACTTACTGGTAGTGGCTTTTTTCTCTTGTATGTATATCTTTATATATTTTTCTCCAAAAAGAAAAGTGGACACAATGTTTAAAGGTCCTCTGGACTGTTATGCTGATTGTTTTGGAACCTCCAATTTTGATGTTAAAACTTCAATATTTAAATAGGTGGTCCATGCTCTGACTCCTTTGTTGGTCAATATTTTTTCCTCTGGCAGATGTATCTGCTCTCATTTTCTTGAGTTTTTGGGTCCAGAAAAAAAAAAGTGTAAATGTCTAATTAGCAGCAGAAAGATAATGAACTACTATTTCTGTTACTTTCGTTTTTATCTCATTTCTTTAAAATGTAATATGTATATTAGTATAAGTAATTATTACAACTATTTCCCTTTTCATACATCCTAAGGTATAGAGGAGTGTGTAAAACAAAAAAAAAAAGAAGAGTCAGCAGGTTTTATATTACAAGATTTTAGGTTCTTCGGGAGTAAGTCAAGACAGAAACTTCCCCTGAGCACCTTATGCCTTTTCTGTTTGAATAAGTGGAAGGGTTTTATTGGTCACATTAATAAAACCTCCAAAATAGGACAGAAATAAAATTTATATAATTTTTTATATTAATGATTTTTAATAGCTGTAATATTACAGGATGATTCCTATAAAAATAATTCAAGGAGTGCTAAATAAACAATACAGAAAAAAAATTACAATGTGAACTAGTTCGCTGGGATGCGTATTGTAAAGATGATAGTGTAACAATGATGGAACTCTGTTTTTCTTTCAGTTCTAATTAAAACAGACAAATTGAATGACTGCTTCTAAATACGCTGTATATGTAATAATTCTGGCTTCTGTTTTGTGAAAGTTTTCTCATGTGATGTTTAGGAATGAATAGCCTCTTTTTATATTAATTCCTTCAATTTACAGTAATATGTGGATTTCTAAAATCACATTTTTCATATGTAAATTCTCATCCTGACTTTATTTTTATTCTACCTGCTTAGATTAACATGCTTGTCATGTCTGTTTGCCATTCTCTGTTTGTTTCACTGTAGAGCTGAACAAAAGCCCTGATTTCTATTCTTATTTTGATCTGTCCTTTTCCTGAATCAGAGAAAAATGGAAATATTTGCAGTTTAAAGATAGATACATTTAATAGTAAGATTTCTAGTAATATATTTTTAAACATTCTGTTGCTGTACTACCTAATCAAAGTGCAGTATCTCTGTCTGTGCTGCCAGGATGCACACATGAGTCTAAAACCTGTTTCATGTCATGGGAGATTTGTCTAGTAGAAAATGACATGCTGATTTTCACAAAAACCAGCATTTTCCTTGAGCAAGTGTTTCAACTGGGAATTAATGGCCAGGGATCCTGTATTGCTCAGCTGTGACAGAAACTGGATACTTCAGCATTTTGGCAGTGGCTGAGGTGCTCTTGAAGTCTCTGTTCCTGTTCAGGCTGGATCCTGCAAAGTGTTCATGTCCTGGCAGTGGCTGAGGACGTGTCTGGGCTGCAGGTGTGAGTCCCGGCAGTGTGAGGGGCCACGCTGCGGCTTTTGGAATTGCCCAGACAATGTGCCTAGCTTAGGACTTTCTAACTGTCTTCATCTTCAAATATCATGAACATATGGTCTTTGTTACTGTGCAAGTTTAGGTTGATTTTCACCAGAACCAATGTTTTCACATCATCATTTCTCAGTCATATGAGAGACTTTATTCGCTATGGAAACAAATATATGCTGGGCACGAGATGCTGACTCTGGGCCAGTTGGACTCTGTAGTTATTCCTGGGTATGTGTTAGGGCAGTAAGAGATAGTTGGCTCATGTATTTGGTAATTTCCCTTGTACTTTATTCTGGTGTTCAGAGCTGCGTGTGGCTTCTGACATGCCAGAGAGGGAGAAACAGTGAAGGGAACAGGGCATGGCCTGTGCCCCTGTGGGGTTTGTGTGCTGCCCTATTGCCAGCCCCACAGCCGGGCTGTGTACGGTGGGCTCTGGCCATGTGCAAGGGCAGTGTTGGCATTACATAAAAATATGCTTTGTATGACACAGACTTGTCACTTGGCTCTGTTTTTTCTTTTTGAGCTTCTGTTGGCAAAATTTTGTTGGTCAAAAGACTTGCTCTTTGTTTCCACAAGACTGAGGTGTGTTTAAACATTTCTCATCTTGAGATATTTTTAAAACTTCTTTAAAATATTTTACTAAATCTTCACTGGACTTTTTTTGAAAATGTGTTTGTTGAAACATTTGTTTTATACCTGTCTATATCCACATTTTTCAATACTGAGCTTATAAATCAGTTAATTTCCAATGTATTTATTTTTATACCGGTCCATTTTTATGTTGTTTTTTGTAGCTTTTATAATCAGGACATCCTTATACACATGAGTAACTTTGTAAAAATTCGTAATCCTATTTAAGTCAATGAGGATTACTTTTGTAGGCAGATATTGCCCAAAATTTTCAGCTCCTCTAATTATTTAAAAAAGCTGTGTGAAGGCAGGACTTTCCCCAAATATGTATCTTTAGAATTGTATGCTTTAATTGGTATAGAAATTTTGTCTTCTCGTGTTCAGCAGTATCTTTTATATTTTCTAAATTTCCTTCTCACATTCCTAAATGCACATGATGAATATTCTGTCTTTTGAGAATGTGCTATTCTAAATAAGTTTCTAATTAAAATGCCATGTTTAGGTTCATCATATATCTATGATATGAAATGTGCAGAGCTCTAATAATTGTGTCATTAGATGTTGCTTTATTTGTAGAACTTTTAGTATTCTGTAATAATGATACTTTTTTTAGCAGGTCAGGTTGTTTCCCCACAGGCTACTCCAGCCTGTATTGAAAACAAAAATGATGTGAGCAGAGAAAACAGCACTGTTGACTTTAGCAAGGTAAGTGTCCACTGATGGTGAAGAGAACTTCCTGACTACCAAACAGATATTTAAAATTAAATAAAATGAATCCATGTGAGTCAGGAAAAGCTGTAAAGTGTAGATCTTACTTTAGCATGGAAGTTTTGTGTGCACTGCAGTATAGTTTCTCTATGATAAAACAGAATCTTACATTTTCTTTCTAAATTATATGTGACAGGAAATCACAGTTTAGAAACACAGATAAATTTAATATCATAGGTATATATTTGTAGGGGAAATTTTACATATTAACAGAAAATTGCATAAGTACGAAAGTAATTCAGAATTCCTATAATTCACCTCAGATTTTTACTTTCTGTAGAAGTGATGCATGAATGCAAACTATGCTTTTTATAACCTGAACTCGTGGATTCCAGATGTCTCAAACAGAATGTGTTTCTGTAAACCTATAACTTAATTCTTCTGGCAAGCCAAGATATTTCAGTACACTTTACAAAAGATGTTAACTGTTCAGTAGTGGAGATTGCAATGACAGTTCAATGTTAGATAGCAAAGAAAAGCAAACAGCTTCTCAGCTTTAATGTGAAGGAGAATCCTAATTTGTGTAAGAAGTCTGTGTGTACCTAAGACAGTCACAATGGATACAGATGACAGGCCTGACAGGGATAGATGACTTCAGCAGACACATTAATGCAGCAAAGGTTGAGAAGTGAAGAAAGGTGATTTAAACCAAAATTCTGAAGAACAGCACTTTGAGTCTGTTGAATTTTAATGTTAGTGCAGCTGAGCTAAAAGTAGAGTTATGTGATTGCTCCATCTGGTGCCAGACTTATTTCCTAGCAGCAGTAGCTATTTGCATCATTTGAATTTTTGACTGAACATTCCAGACTATGAATCGTATATGGCTGAAATAAGAGGGGAAACAGATCTTTCTGTCAATGACAATGAGGAAAAAGGAGGCTGGCTGGGAATGTATTATGAACTATATTTCTATAGAGGCCATGAGAACATCTATGAACAGTGGCAGGTTGTTAAAAATTTAATGTTAATCCTTTAAGCATATTTCAAACTAAAATGATATTACTTTAAAGAGTCAAGTGCAATATTGGTCTCATGATATTTATATTAAAGTCTTAAGTAAAACAAATTGGTTTTGCAAGCGTTCTAATATCAAGGTGTAAAATTTGTAAAGGACATAAAATATAAATAAAATTGTCTATTCAAAATAAAGCTATGCAGAAGTGAAGGGAATGGCATAAGTTTCAGTAGTGCTTTTCGTGAGCATTTTTCCAGTTGCTTTGAGTGTTGTAGGATCCAAATCCCAGTCAGTTGTCTAACTGCAATTCCGTTTGTATTAAACAAGAATGGGAGTGGCATCATTTGATCCTTCACTCATTATTTTTGTAGTGCTGCATCTTTGCTGATCAAAAGAGCTCTTCCCATTTAAACTAGCTGGAAGAATAATCAACATTTCATCTTCTTCTAACCTCAACAGTGATGGATACCAATAAGCATGTCAGGAATATGAAAGGAACGACTTTTGTTAGGAGGAATGAAATAGCAGTAAAGGATTGTAATCTAATATCTTCCTTTTTGGCCAACTTTAAATAGATCCATTTATCCTTTTGAAGATGCATAAGTTCAGTTTCCCCTTGAAATGTGCTATTGCAATAACTCCCAACGGTTATAATTGGAATTATATGCACAGATTGAGAGGAAAGTAGAGCAGTACACTAATTTTCTCTAGTGTATTGTGATTTCTTGCTCTAATTTTGTTCCAGATATTAATTTCATTTATCTTCTACAAAAAAAGCACCTTTGACTACCTCACATATTCTCTCCTTGCTAATCTTCTCCCTTGGGCTCCATCTAGTATTCCAGATTTGGAGTTGATTCAAAAAGCTGACTTAATCTGGATACAGCATTGAGACTGTGTTGATTGTATTGGTATCTGTCCATGAAAATGTGAGACAGGCACTGAAAGCTGTCTTGAGTGTTACCTCAGTGGCATGGAGAGAGAGATGGTTTGTGCTGTTTGTAAATGTGTCACTCCTCTTCCTCTGCTGCCACCACCAGGACTTTGTGTTCTCAGGGTGATGTGGAGGTGATTTGTCACAGCACCACTTTACCCTCCTGTCTGAGTAGAAATAGGAGTGATGGTTCAAGAACTTCATCTGGCTCATTTCTACTTTTTACACCAAAGACTGGAGGGAACATTAATTGTCCTGAAAAACAAAATGTATAAAGGGACTGTAGATCCACTTCCCCTCTCCCATACCGACAGAGTTTGGCATTTCAAATATCATGTGAAGCAAATTACTTGTTTTGAGTGCTGGTTGACCTGCTTATAAATAAATTTGATTAATATGTTTTACTAAGAAGGGATGTTGGGTATCTTTTTTGTCTCCATGTTGGTTTGTGTTGGTTTCAGGGTAGATGTCCACCACTCTTCAGTCTTTGAGTTGCTCTGAAGAGACATGGCCTTTGCATTAGTTATTTAGTTTTATATTTATTGGAGCTTGCCGGGACTATTTAGGGTCAGGTCAGGAATGGGGTGCAGGTTAGGGTGCAGATGAAGGTGCACATCAGGTCTCTCTAGCTAAAGACCTGGGATAAGAGATGTACTATGGATAGGTTAGATAAAACATTCAATATAGGTAGCTTCTGCCACTGCCATAAATGTGTTACTCCAGGACCACCTCCACTCTCATTATGCAGTGAAAGCAACACCTCTGGGACTTGGCTGTGTCTGCTCAGTTTGCTCCTGAGTTCCTCAGTTTGCTGCCAGCTACTTTCCTTTTAATGGGGCTCTCTTCACTACCTAAACAATATTAGAATCTCAAGCTGATAAATAGTACAGAAACTATCTGATAATACCTTCTGGTAGACAGAAGACAGAATCTTTATTTCTAATATGAATCTTGGGATCTGTTAGAGGACCTCAATGTCATAACTGTAGCATGTTGTATATGTGACGTTAATTATTAAATGTTAAATGCATTAAAATGTTAAATCCATCCATTAACAAGGTAAACTCAGCACAGAATGCACATTTCTTACATGCCTGAAAGACTGCTTTCTTCCTCTCAATTGCAAATAACCTGCAACACCAAAATTAGGTGCAGAGTGAGCCTTAGTTATGTATTTAATCCTGAAGAGTTATGTAATGATTTGAGTGGAGAACAGAATTTACCTCACTTTTTCAATTGAAGGCCTCCAACCTTCCAGTTGATGTGGTTCTTGTTTAACTTTGTGAGGGGTTTAGTCATCTTTGTAGCTTAGGGAAGCATTAGATATCTCTTTGTGATCTCAGCAAACCAAGATTTCATTACACAGGCAACTGTGTTATATCTGAATTCTGATTTAGTGCCAGAGCCATTTGCAAGAAAACAATTTTCTAAATATTACCAAAAACTATGCAAACTAGTACTGACAGATGGCTGTAAGATAGACATTAAAATGGTCCACTTTAACAGTTTATATTGGATTTGGTTGCTGTTGTTGTGTTTAGATTAATAAAAGGAAAGCAAATGACAAAATTCATGCATTTTGAAATGTAGACAATACTGGTGCATAATTAAATCAGACATACATTATATACTTTATTATTTCATGTCAGTCTTTGTTACAGAGTAAAATCTAGAGTCATACATTCCTACGCAAATACCTTGAGCTTGTTACAGCAATGTCATGATGAAGCTGTGTCTGTTTTTCTATTATCCTACAAAAGTCAACATCACTGCCTAAAATTCCAAAGTTTTTCTTCTGTTTTGTTCTTTCAGTTTGCTCTTGAGACAGTCAATGCTCACGATAGCTTTTTTTCTCTTACTTTCAGCAGAAGGGCAACTGCCTTCTGTTAAATCTGAAAACAAAAATACATCTCAGAGTAGGAAAAGGAAAATTTTATGTAGTGGAATCCAATGCTCTTCTCAGTGAGATAATAACACAACAACTGTGAGCTACGAATTAATGATTTCCAGAATTGTTAATTATGGAAAAAAAAAGGTGTCTTAACTTCTTCTACTGTTATGATTATTATCAAGTATTCATGCTGTTATGAGTATAGATAAAAAGCATTACTAGGAAATTAATCCTATATTCTTAAAAATATTTTCAATTTGATTTGTTGTCTTTATGAATTAATTCTGTAGTGCTTTGTTTCCAAGAAAAATCGGTCAAATAATTTATGTCTAATTTGGATTAGAGAAAGATTTTTATTTAAAAAAAAATATTCAACAGACAAGACCAATGGAACTGCATAACTGAAATAGATAATGTTGTAGTGCAGATTGGAAAGTTTCTGTCAACAAAGCAGGGGGGGGAGGAAAATTCCCTTTGAGTAACTTGTAGGTTGTAATTTAATATACTTCTCCCAGGTTGACCTACACTTCATGAAAAAGATACCACCTGGAGCTGAAGCATCAAACATCTTAGTTGGTGAACTGGAGTTCCTGGACCGTGCTGTTGTGGCTTTTGTTAGGTTGTCTCCTGCAGTGCTGCTTACAGGACTGGCTGAAGTTCCAATTCCAACCAGGTACAGTTGGGCTGATTTTGCTTTGTGTTTTCCTGAGTACTTTGTGGAAACAGGGTGATGTGACCCTCTGCTTTGCCATTTACTGAGTGAGGAATTTGGTTTGCTCTTTAACAAAGACATCAGCCTTCCACTTGTCCTATAAATGATGTGTGGGTGTATTCAGACACTTGCTGGTTGTGAGTACTTCAGAGATGTAAAAATGTAGGTTATAACACACAGTTTATCCTATACAAACTGGTATTACTCCAGATGAAGCACTAAGGTGAAGCATTCAGCTTTGTAGAATATTCCATCTGGAACTGAAACTACTTGTGTGATACTGCATAATTATGTACAGAACTGAAAAAAATGAAGAAAGAATTGAGAAAAGGCAAAAAGCAAACTGTGTGATTTGGTTAACTAGGGATAGTGAGTGAATGGATGCAGAACATGCTGTAAATATGTTCAAAAATTTGTACTTCTTCAAAAATTTGCTTTGCATGGTAGGGAAGGTGAACCATAAATTTTTATTCGATTACTTTTTTCCAAGTTGAAACTTTTTCTGATGGAGTACTTTGGTTCTGAAAACAAATTATGAGGAATTAAAAGTCTAAAATAGTCCTTGTATTCAAATAGAAGGTGTTGGGATAGATCCGTGGTTATATTGTGTATGTTAAAATATTGTCTTTTGCATTTCAACGAAACTGAGAATTTTAGTTATTTAAGTTGAACAAATTCTCTGCCTTTTATAGAACTTTATGTGCCTTCAGCCTCAAGTAGAAACTGTCCAGAACCTTAATGGCAATAAAAATAATTTAAAAATTATTTTAATTTGTGTTAATTTAACTTCTCCAATATTGCAATAATATATGTAACCCCAGCCCTTCTGTTGAATTAACTGAATTAAATAAATTAATGTGTTCTGTACATAAATTACAATTGAATACATTTATTATGTAAGTTAAGGTTTGTTATGTAAGGAGGTTTTGGTAGTCTCAATCAAGACTGACTGCTAAGCTTATGATGTATTTTTGGAAGCTATTTTCACTTTTTTTTTTTTTCTAAGCAGAGCTTCATGTTTAAATGCATGTGTGAACAACTCGAAGGAGATTATATATAGTGTTTATCTGATAGATTCTTCTAGTCCACATTTTAAATAAATATTTCTGTAATATTTGTATGAATTTCAACCATCTATCCTTTGCAATTTCTCAAATTTACCTTTAATTTGCAGATTTTTGTTTATTCTTCTTGGACCGCTGGGTAAAGGACAACAATACCATGAGATTGGAAGATCAATTGCCACACTAATGACAGATGAGGTATTTTTATTCATGGTTCAGTTTTGTACTAACTGAAGAGGTTTAATAGGGAATCTCCAATCCTTCAGATGAAATGTGGCTAATCATTCTGGTGATGACAACGAGCGTTCTAGTTCATTTCATGATCCTGTGACAGCCCAGATTATCCTGCTGTAAGGGGATAACAAAATGAGAAACAATATTCACAAGCAAAGATATCTTCACCAATAAGGTTCCATTTTTCACATTTTGCTTTCCAGTGGATTTAATTTTGTTTAAGCTGCAAAATCTCTGGAATACTTAGCAGCCGTAAGGATGTTTTTCTGTAGCAGCTGGAATTTCTTAGAGAACTATATACCAGAAGTTATTTTCAGTTGAAGCTGAGATTGTTTGCTCAGTGGGAACTTTACAAAGTGTGTTCTATTTAGAGAAGAAGGGTCATTATTTTAGAAAGGGTTCCTTTTTCCATCTCTTTTTCCTCCCACACATACTTCTCAATTTTTCACAGGTATTCCATGATGTTGCTTACAAAGCAAAAGACCGCAATGACTTGGTGTCTGGAATTGATGAGTTTCTTGATCAGGTTACTGTTCTCCCTCCTGGAGAGTGGGACCCAACAATTCGAATAGAACCACCTAAAAATGTTCCCTCTCAGGTTTGTACAGTGTAAAATTCGAGCGCTTTTAAAAGTTGTGATGAATTTTTATTATGTAGATTTAAGTCTCATTAATTTAGCATTTAGCAGAGTTTTGCATGGTCTTTTTATTTTAGGTTAATTTTCTTTAGGAGAACCCTTGGGCTGCAAGCATACAGTGTAGTGATGACATTTGGTTTAGTTCAGTACTAGTTATCTCCTGAGTAAATACAGGTAGTTGTATCTAAAGATAGTAAATTTAGGGGTAAGTGGTCTTAGGCATCCTTGATTATTCCAAATAGCCATGGTTTACTTTTGTTCTAAGCTTATTGCAAGAATTGATCAAAGCTTGTTACTCTTTAAAATGTTTTCTGATTCAAGATTTTTTTGTGATCAATTCCTTAAATTTGACAGAATCACAATTCTTTTTACTATTAACTGTCTAGTAATAGAACAGCTTATGAGGAGGTTATGTTGAAGAATCTTAAAGTAAATTTTTTATGTTTAAGCTTTTAACTTTCAGAGCCTATTTCAGTGCTAAAACCCCTGAGAAATATCTTTTCCTTCTGGTAGGAGAAGCGTAAGATCCCAGGAGTGCCAAATGGAACTGCAGCCCACGGGGAAGCAGAACATCCTGGGGGACACTCTGGACCAGAATTGCAACGCACTGGAAAGTTAGTGAGAACATATTCAAAATCCTAAGTGTTCAAAGTGATGTTCAAAAGGAGTCACAAGGGTCTGGTTCTCTCTCAGAAGTGTCTTGGCACATGATTTCTTTCAGGCATTTGTCCTGGTTTGCGTGTGCCTTGTAGCTGAAGAGGACAATGCCTGCTCGTCTGCAGAGAGCAGGAGAGGGCAAGAGGGTTTGAGTTTCCTAATTGTATTTATTGCAAGCTCCTTTCTCTAATATTTACAAAGGGAAGACCTCTCTTAAACTTAATTAATGTTATTTGGTTTTGTATAGGATGAAGTAAAACTTGGTATAGTATTGTGCCGTATATTATGAATCCTTAGAGCTGTTTTGTAGTTGAAGTTCCTGGGTTGTGCAGCTCTAGAATTTCTTTTTTACCTCAGTAAGCCGTGATATGTCCTGGTACATGAGGCTGTGGTTACCCTGGTGGCTGCAGTATACATCAGAATGAAGAATTTGTCCCAAGGAATACTTGCTTTATCTCATCTAATATGGTGTGGTGTCCATCAGCTGTCAATGGCTGCCTTAATGCAGTGTAGTTAGGCAACAGATGTTTCTTTTAGTTTGCTGCCTCCTGATATTTAAATATTTTCCCTGTCTTTAGCATGAAGCTAAAGATTCAGCTGCAGTGCTGGTGTACACTGGGGCAGAGGAGATGATGGCCAGTCTGGCTGGAAGTTGTTCTCACCAGAGAACCTGCTAATTTACAGCTTGAAGGATTGTTTTAATATTTAGGAGATAGTAGCACTACACATTCTTCTTTACCTCAGCAGCATCTGATCCATTGTGTGCCTGTGAGGAAAAGAGCATTGTGGGGTTATTTACTCTAGCTGTATGGTATTTTGTAAGGGAGCGTCTGTTCCTAAATATTTGATTATATTTGACACAGTGTAAATGACAAAAGATGACAGCTCTTGTCCTTGAAAAATGGTAGCATATACTCATTTCTATCATCAAGTGTATTTAGGAACAGCTTCTCAAATAAAGAATGTGAAGCTCTATATATAAATGTGTGGGCAAATAGCACTGTGATACGTCTCTAATTAAACAAATGCAAAGAATTATTTCATGTAATAAACAGTTTGACTTAGTGCATGGGAGCAAGCAACTGTTCAGAACTTTGGAGTATGGGTGATTAGTTGAAAAATTTATAAAAGAGACATGGAAATTAGTTTGCTTTAAAACCACAATAATTTCCTGGTTGGAGTTACAAAGACAGGCTTCCTAAACTTATTTTTTTATGAAGGGTCAAACATAAGAGTATGTATCATTTGATCAAGGAACAGTAGCTTCTCTGCAGTGTGGTTGAAGCAATACTGTAGAAGAAAGTTTTTTATGCCACCTTAATTAATTTGAGCTCTTCTATGTTTTCTTTAGATTTTTTGGAGGATTAATTTTAGATATCAAAAGAAAAGCTCCCTTCTTCTGGAGTGACTTCAGGGATGCTCTCAGTCTGCAATGTCTGGCATCATTTTTGTTTCTCTACTGTGCTTGCATGTCTCCTGTCATCACATTTGGTGGTCTGCTGGGAGAAGCAACTGAAGGTCGTATAGTATGTGTTAAATCTGAACTTTTAAAACAAACTTACATTCCTAGTTTTGTGGTTAGTATTTCCTTACTGTTGCATGAATCACCTTTATATATTGGTGTTTCATTGTTTAGAAGGCTACGGACTAAGACATTACAAAAAGAACCTGTTTGAAAATTTATGGACACTTCTCTCTGTATCATATTCAGAGTGCAATAGAATCGCTGTTTGGAGCATCCATGACTGGAATTGCCTACTCTCTTTTTGGTGGACAGCCTCTCACTATACTTGGCAGCACAGGACCAGTTTTAGTGTTTGAGAAGATCTTATTCAAATTTTGCAAGTAAGTGAAGATCATGACATTCATCATCCTTCATTTGTTGTGAGATGAAAGTAGAAACACCTGTCCCAAAGCTGAAATCCTAAACAGTGCAATACAAGATAAATTGTTGCCTTTATCATGTTGCAGAGTCCAAAAATTATGCAGTGAATTGGTAATGCAGAAAAGTGAATATTCTTAAATTTTGGGCCTTTGTTGCTTTTAAACTCTCCTTCATCCCTTCCCTCAGCAGCTTTGAAGGGAATGACAGCTTCAGGATGTTTGTGGGATTGTTTTTTTTTTGGTTTGTTTTTTAATTTTATCATTCTCTACTCTGAGACAGTAAATTTAAATCAGTGGTTTATCTCATCCCTCATTTGAAAGGTGTTGCCTCTCACCAAGAAAGTAAGTGCAGTAGAAGTGGTGTCCTCTTTCAATAGTCACTAATACAGACCGTGCCATTCCCTCACCTGGACAGAGGCGGTGAAGTGTCACACCAGAAGAGCCACATTTAGGCTAAAGTGCTCTACTTGACATATCTCTGCCACACTGTGGATAAAAATGATGTCTCCATTTGGAAGCCATCATGCTTCTCTGCTCTCCAGTCTGCTTTCCTCATTGCTGTGACAGGGACTTCTGTGCAGGATCTCCTGCACACCACAGAGCAGGAAACCTCGCTTAGCACTCAGATTTTCTCGCACCTTCAGACAGACCTTTCAGTTTTCTGTGATAATGTCACTCGGTGTGTTTGGAGCTCTATTATCATATGCAATAAGCTTACAGAATTTTGATGAAAGTTGTTATAGCTACTCTTTCACAGCTTAAAAAGAAATTGGCAGGTGTTGGCTGTTCACAAAGCAGGATATGGGATAAAGAGTGAGTGGACCTTATACACTTCATGTGTGTGACTACTCTCAAAGCTGCTCGTGTGATCACTTAAATGGAGATAGAGCTCTTTGTGTCTTGCTGATTGGGGGAAGAGCTCTGGTCAGGAGGTGACTTGATGGGATCTTCTGTTCACAATAAGTACATAATTTGTGATTCAGACTTTTGGAGCTGCCTTGTTTCTATTCACTGTGGCTGGACAAAAGGTTCAGTGGGTTCAATTCTTTTCTTGTTTTTAGAGAGTACGGGTTGTCATACCTTTCTCTGAGAGCCAGCATTGGGCTGTGGACTGCAATCCTGTGCATCATCCTTGTTGCAACTGATGCAAGCTCCCTAGTCTGCTATATTACCCGCTTTACTGAAGAAGCCTTTGCTTCTCTTATCTGCATCATTTTCATTTATGAGGCCTTAGAGAAGCTGTTTCATCTCAGTGAGACATATCCAATCAACATGCACAATAACTTGGAGCTGCTGACAAAGTACTCGTAAGTAAGACTTCTTTTGTTAAACTGTTAGGGTTTTTTTTTTATTTTCCATAGGTTGTTTTCTCTGCAAGGAGCACAGCAGAAAAAGTTTGCAGTAGTTGCAGCATGTGGAAGCTATTCAGTCATTATGCTGTCTTATGGAAGTAGTAGTTATTGCGGGGATGTGTAGAAGCAGGACACATTTACTTAAGATAACTAACAAATATATTTCCAGACTTGAGGTTTGGAAAAGCTTCAACATAATTAACTTGGAAATGCTAGATTAAAAATAGGACTTAAAGGGACCTAGGTTTTATGTCTCTATTCATTTTTATTTAAGGAGAATTAACTCATGGTCTCTTCCTGTAACCTTTTACTTATGATTTATAATGTTTCAATGGTAACAGGATGTTCAGGTAATGCTTGTATATCATATTTATCTTGTTTTGTTTTGTTTTTCCCAAATTGAAATATTCACCTTTCTAAAAGGTTATAAGCTGATGTGCCTCCTTTGTTTTAACCTCTCTGGCATTTAAGGTCCAAGCTTAATCCACAAGAGCTGAAGTGGATTTGGAATTGTTAGATGCATCTCAGTACACAGTAATCAATTTGTTCTTAATTCAACGATTTTAATCTAACTCCATTTAAACAGATTTACTTTATTGTGAAGTTCAGACAGATACTAATCTACTTGGAGAATAAGAAAGTGAATCACTTTTGTCAAAATTATTTCATAGAGAAGTAAAGTCTTAACACAGACCTGTTTCTGTGATATGAGAACAAAAATGTTCTAGCAAAGGACAAGACCCTAGTCTGTCCTGAACCCAGTTAAGCTTGGTCACATCAGTAAATAAAATGTCATTAAAAACCATTTTCAATGAAAATCCCTCTCCAGAAATGTCTTTATTATTTCACTGAACCCATTTGAACCCTCTGCATGAGCTGGGTGGGGCCCTAAAGCAACAGTGCTTGAACAGTGCCACATCTTCTGTTCACTGGAAAAACAGGAGTGTCTCAACCAAATGTCTCATTTGCATTTTAAGCTGGGAAAAACAGAACACAGCAACAGAGAAAACATTTGAGCTTTGTGTATATTATCACTAGAAAAATAGTTAGCAAATCCTGAATCTGAATGTACATTATACACGTTAATACACAGAACAAGTTAAATTAGAGAAACTATAGTTCTGCTGTGACATACTCCCATCATGCTGAAAATATTATTATTCCTCTCTAATAGCTTAATCGGTAGACAAAGGAATATTAATTTGAAGAGAAAGCAACAGACATCAAGAATAGATCATGCACACAATTGAGGTTATATCCTCTTATTTAACTTTATTCACCTTCTACAAAGTAGGCATTTTACTCTGAAGACCTTCATATAGCACAGTCTTCATGGATTTTTTTCATTTCCTTTACCACTTCAAAGTAGTTGTCTCAAAGGAAAAGAGAACATGATGTCCTTCTATCATTTTGAAAATCAGATGTTGAAATGCTGTATCAAGACAAAAAAATATTTATAAAACATTTGTCATGTGGAGCTGAGATATTAAAATCTGTAATGGAAAGCATAAACACAAGTAGGTACATGGGTTGTACATGGTAGATGTATTTGTGGTTAGCTGAATACCATAATATTGCCAGAGATTTCAGAGAAATGAATTTAACAGTCCTGCTTGTAGGTGTACAGTCATAGTTATGTCTATATTTTGTGAGACTGTTTTCTCATTATAATCCTTGTGTTAAATAAAGGTTTTTGAAGGGTGGTGCTTTGAAAGGTGCTGCCTGCTCTTGGTAACTGAGCAATGAGTGTGAAACATGCAGAGCCCACGGAACAGTAAAAGAGCAGCCTTTGTCATCCTCCAGTTACACCTATTGATCTGCCCTGGCTGACAGTGGTAGAATACCAGCACAACAGTTCTAGATTTTTCAAACATAGCTCCTGAAAAATAAGTGTCTTCCAGATGTTTGAAAGAAAGATTTCACCACAGCCTGGTGTTTTCAAACTTACATAAAAATTATTGGTATCACTGATATGAAACTTATTTGATAGCATGTTTTTGTAGTTATTTGAGTTTATTATTTTGTACCTATGTTGTCAGTTATTTCACTCTGAGTAGATAGTACAAATAGATTGCCTTTTAAACTCTTGTATTACACCTCACATTTGGCACTTATGCTTTATTTTCTACTTTCAGCATGTTCCTGTTTATTATCAGTCATGTCCATAGCCCCACTAATAGCAAAATGCTTAGCTGTTGACATATAGCTCTTATGGGATGGGACTTACATATTTTTAAATTTAAAACTGATTTTTAGAAATGGCAGTGTACTGACAATCAATGTATGTTGATTATCTTGTAAGAAGAGTTTATCTGCTGCTATCAAAGGATCTGCTCTGAACACAGCAAAGGGCTAATTCCAGCCTCTCCTGTTCTCGCCATTCCTTTCTCTTTCATCTGAGATTTCTTAGTTATGCAGAACTAGTCCCAAAAGATTGGGAGAATTGAAAGATATGCTTAGTTGCAACTACTCTACATCAGCTGCCTGAATCAGCTGCCCAGTGCTGTCACAGCAGATCTAATGCAATCTGAACTCCATGGGCTTTCTGTGCAAAGGTGCACATCTCTCTTACTCTGTCCAGATACAGTGGCCTTTTGCCCAGAAGATGAGATGTCACACTTACCATCCCTGTAAGGTCATCACAAGACATTTCAAGTACTCTCAGTCCCTGTTCAAATGTCTGTACACAACTCAGTTCCAGAAAGATAAGAAATTAAAAGATGGATAAGCATAAGAGTTTACTTAAAATAAAAATCTCTCTTTTGTGTACTTTTTCTGTAAAGTTGGGAAATATTGATTTCACAAGGAATTCAATTTTCCTGCAACATCTGATTCCAGTCCTTCTACTTGTAACAAACTTGGGCTGAAACTGGTCCTGTCCTTAAAGAACCGGCATACTCTGTTACAGAAGCTAATTAGTATCTGCTGTTTTGCTAATTAAAACAGCTGTTTGCATTTTCCTCTTTGGGGATTTTAAAGACCAGTTTTTAATTGTTAGTAAAGCTTTGGCAGGTCTTTAATTAGCCATGGGTGATCTTCAAAAGGTTGAGCAACTCATTTCTCTTTGAATGCTAAAACAAAGCTTATGTAAAACTTTATCTTGGATCTGCAATTCTATGCTAGAAAACTCAGGTTATACTGTAAAATTTCTGTCTTTTCTGTTGCCCACTTCAAAAGTTGATGATAAATTGTTCAGAACACTGAATATATTTGAAATTTTCAGTGTATAGTATGGCCCAGCTATCCTCTTTTCTCCCATGGGCTTTCAGAAGATGCTCTGATGTCCACAGGTAGCCTTTTTACATGCCAGTACTGTTCCTTTGCCCTGGTGAAGAGATGAGTTTGATCCAGGAAAAGTCATTGACATTCTATTAGTGCTCTCTTTGGAGTACTAGAAAGACAAATAAAGTAGTAATCTTAAATGGTTGGTATTTCAACCAGATTGAAACTGTATTTCAAGTAAGAAAGAAAACCCATTCTGTATTTTTGGTGGGCTTGAATTCTATTACAAACAGTCTCTTTTGCAGGGATTTGGTGTGAAAGACTCCACTGCATGCATCTCTTTTATTTGAGAGTACAGGAGTCATTACTACTATCTGCCATAGTACACCTTAGAAGACTAGAGGAAAAACATTCAGAACAGTTGTGACTTTTATTTTTAAGTTTTTAATCAAGCACACCCAAATATTTGAAAATCAACTGGAAGTCCTCCTAAAATATTTCTTAAAAATCATATTTAGCATTTTACTATTTTAAGTAGAAGATAGGTTTTTTTGTTACAGAATTCTACCTCAAAAATACAAAAATATCTTGTTCCATGATCTAATTATTATAAAACTAGACATCATGCACTTTTTACTCTTATTTAAATTTTATTTTTTACTCTGTATTTAAATATTACCCCTGATCTTTATATGAGCTACTTGCAGGAAAATCCACACACCATTTATATGTAACTTTTTCCTAAAACACCATATTTTTGATATGGATGATGAAGAAAAAGGCATTTAAGTGATAAAGGAAGGACAAAGGAAACCTGGCTTTCAGTGTGGTATTGTGCTGTGGTTTTTTATTTTTAAACTCCATTGTTTTGAAGAAATTTGAATAGAGTAGCTACATTGTTTATTAAATTAAGTACAAATACTTCTCGATCAGAGCTTTTCTATTTTTTTTTATGTGACCTTTTTGTATTTGTCATGCCATTAGCATTTGTAGGTTGGCATAGCAACTCTCTTATTTCTGCACTCTCCTCCTCCTGTTTTTTTCCTACCCTGGTAGCAAATATATTTCCAGTTAGTGAAACCTGTCTGGAACACTGATGCCCATAAGTTTTAATGTGTATGTTAAATATTAGATTTATTTTTTTTTTTTGCTAGGAAAAGAGAAACCCATATTGGAGCAGATAAAACCCACTGTTTTTAAAAGGATAACAGAATAAGCATTGTGAATGAAAGGAATGTGATTTAGAAAGCAATCCAGTTGTATTCTATAAAATACAAGAATTTTAAGATCGTTATCTTAGAATACAGAAGTTCAGTTATTTCTCAGGGTGAAGTTGCTTAGATGTTTATATACCTTTTTTGGTATATAAAGGAATTTCATATACCTTTTTGGTTTTTATTAATTCTTTTTTCAAAGTGATGAATTCATGTTGTTTTAATAATTCTTTACCAGAAGTTACTCAATTATTAACAGATTACATTGAATAATTTTAAAGTGATTTCTTGGCATAGTAATATGCATATTGCAATCTGTCTTGGTATTGACATGCACTTAAGCATTAGGAGTAGAAAATCCCACTCTGATGTAATTAGGGAGCCAAGATCATGTCAATCTCAGTATCATTTCAGCTATAGAAACCATTGCTTCTAGTAGGTATTGTGAAGATTAGTTTTGTGCATACCACTGTTTGCACAAGCAAGTTTTAAATCCTCCATTATTATATAAGTTAATCT